GTTATGTGTTGATTCACAAGTTCCCCCTAAAGATTCAGACAAACAACTTTAAACACCTTCTCAAAGTTGGAAAATTCTCTTGGAAACAAGGCAATTTTAGGTGACACTGGAAGACATTTGATTTTTATATCGACACAAGCAAAGGCCATCAAGTACTGGATAAAAGTTCTACGAATGACAACCGATCGCTGCCCACACCAGTTTTACCAAATGCTTAAATCACTCGATGATGTAGGAAAGAAAAACTGGACTTCTGATATTCGAGAAACATCGTTTAACCTAGGATCTCTCATGTATAGATCGCCCAGGAGATAGATCGCCCAGGAGATGCAGACAATTCTTATCAACATCGCTAACTACCTTCAAGATAAACGGTAAAGTAAAGTAAAGATACAAAGGCGACCATCCGGTATACTTCCCCATATGTGAACTTTGTAATGATTACCTTAATGAAGACGAGAACCGCGTATTTTTTGTTTGTGACAAGGACAGTGAAGTCCGAATTAGAGCCAGATATCTACAGAAGCTACAACCAGTCTCCAGAGACAGATATCTACAGAAGCTACAACCAGTCTCCAGAGCCAGATATCTACAGAAGCTACAATCAGTCTCCAGAGACAGATATCTACAGAAGCTACAATCAGTCTCCAGAGCCAGATATCTACAGAAGCTACAACGAGTCTCCAGAGCCAGATATCTACAGAAACTACAATCAGTCTCCAGAGCCAGATATCTACAGAAGCTACAATCAGTCTCCAGAGACAGATATCTACAGAAGCTACAATCAGTCTCCAGAGCCAGATATCTACAGAAGCTACAACGAGTCTCCAGAGCCAGATATCTACAGAAACTACAATCAGTCTCCAGAGCCAGATATCTACAGAAGCTACAACCAGTCTCCAGAGCCAGATATCTACAGAAGCTACAACCAGTCTCCAGAGCCAGATATCTACAGAAGCTACAACCAGTCTCCAGAGCCAGATATCTACAGAAGCTACAACCAGTCCCCAGAGCCAGATATCTACAGAAGCTACCACCAGTCTCCAGAGCCATATATCTACAGAAGCTACAACCAGTCCCTAGAGCCAGATATCTACAGAAGATAAAGCCAGTCTCCAGAGCCAGATATTTACAGAAGCTACAACCAGTCTCCAGAGCCAGATATCTACAGAAGCTTCAGCCAGTATCCAGAGCCAGATATCTACAGAAGCTACAACCAGTCTCCAGAGCCAGATATCTACAGAAGCTACAACCAGTCTCCAGAGCCAGATATCTACAGAAGCTACAACCAGTCTCCAGAGCCAGATATCTACAGAAGCTACAATCAGTCTCCAGAACCAGATATCTACAGAAGCTACAACCAGTCTCCAGAGCCAGATATCTACAGAAGCTACAACCAGTCTCCAGAGCCAGATATCTACAGAAGCTACAATCAGTCTCCAGAGCCAAATATCTACAGAAGCTACAACCAGTCTCCAGAGCCAGATATCTACAGAAGGTTCAACCACTCTCCAGAGCCAGATATCTACAGAAGCTACAATCAGTCTCCAGAGCCAGATATCTACAGAAGCTACAACCAGTCTCCAGAGCCAGATATCTACAGAAGCTACAATCAGTCTCCAGAGCCAAATATCTACAGAAGCTACAACCAGTCTCCAGAGCCAGATATCTACAGAAGGTTCAACCAGTCTCCAGAGCCAGATATCTACAGAAGCTACAATCAGTCTCCAGAACCAGATATCTACAGAAGCTACAATCAGTCTCCAGAGCCAGATATCTACAGAAGCTACAACCAGTCTCCAGAGCCAGATATCTACAGAAGCTACAATCAGTCTCCAGAGCCAGATATCTACAGAAGCTACAACCAGTCTCCAGAGGCCCACTAACCGTTGAGGCTATTTTCATGTCACAAAGCAGTCATGTACAGCACCTAATAGCTATATAACTCAATGAAATATTTAAAATAAGATCTGTATGAAATTCAAATGTTCATGATGAGGTGAAATTTGTATCGTATTTGTCAACTGTATCCTAGACCTTATGGCCCAAATACTACTTCTGTCTGTCTGATTCCCAAGTTGAAAGTACAAAGTTAACTGAGTATCAGCTGTAAAGATACTCTGAGATACAAACAACAAAGAAATGAAACAATTGTATTCTAAAATTAACAAAGTAGAATCAGTACAAATTGAAAGATAAACTGAAATGCAAGCAACAAAGTGCTGCTTTTTGCAATATTCCTGCAATATCACGTCAGGGGACGCTAGAAATGGGCTTCACACATTGTACCCATGTGGGGAACTAAACCGGGAAGTTTGTCGAGCAAAGGCCTTAACCACGAGGCTACCCCATCGCCCCACAAGCAATAAAGACAATGATGGTACTATTCACCACTCAGTAACATTCATCCAACTTGATAGCAATGACTAGCCAGATAGGATCGAGGGTGTCAAGATCAACACACACAATGATGGTCTTCTTGTGGCTTGAGGTGTAATGTAAGGCTTGAAGCTCCCCTAACGTGCCAGATATTTCGATACTGTTCTGTGCCGCGTTACACAACATATATCACCGCCACATAACACTTTTCCTCAGTGTTATACCCCGCTGCGCGTTTAGCGGTCACAAAGTTATTCCAAGGTCACAAGGGGACTTAAACGTTTTACCTTTGTCGGCAAGATATCTCAAGAGCCGTTCACTGTATTGTCTTATATTTGACACCAAGCTTCATCTAGGGAAGGCTCAGGGCCCACTGACACTTTGAAGATTTCAGTATGTTCAGGGGCGGATACAGCCTTTTGAGAAAAGGGGGTAGGTGTTTGCACACTATTGAGAAAAGGAGGGGTACACACTTCATTTTCACCAAGTTTGCATCCCTACACCCCGTTCTGGATCCCTCGTCCTGGGGTAGATGTATGTGGGGTAGAGGATCCTGACAGATCTAAAGTCTCTGGATCCCTCGTCCTGGGGTAGATGTATGTGGGGTAGTGGATCCTGACCAGATCTGTTCAAAGTCTCTGGACCCCTCGTCCGGAGGTAGATGTATGTGGGTTAGAGGATCCTGACCAGATCTAAAGTCTCTGGATCCCTCGTCCTGGGGTAGATGTATGTAGGGTAGAGGATCCTGACCAGATCTAAAGTCTCTGGACCCCTCGTCCTGGGGTAGATGTATGTAGGGTAGAGGATCCTGACCAGATCTAAAGTCTCTGGATCCCTCGTCCTGGGGTAGATGTATGTAGGGTAGAGGATCCTGACCAGATCTAAAGTCTCTGGATCCCTCGTCCTGGGGGGTAGATGTATGTAGGGTAGTGGATCTGACCAGATCTAAAGTCTCTGGATCCCTCGTCCTGGGGTAGATGTATGTGGGTTAGAGGATCCTGACCAGATCTAAAGTCTCTGGATCCCTCGTCCTGGGGTAGATGTATGTGGGTTAGAGGATCCTGACAGAACTAAAGTCTCTGGATCCCTCGTCCTGGGGTAGATGTATGTTGGATAGAGGATCCTGACAGGTCTAAAGTCTCGGGATCCCTCGTCCTGGGGTAGATGTATGCAGGGTAGAGGATCCTGACCAGATCTGTTCAAAGTCTCCGGATCCCTCGTCCTGGGGTAGATGTATGTGGGTTAGAGGATCCTGACAGAACTAAAGTCTCTGGATCCCTCGTCCGGGGGTAGATGTATGTGGGTTAGAGGATCCTGACAGAACTAAAGTCTCTGGATCCCTCGTCCTGGGGTAGATGTATGTAGGGTAGAGGATCCTGACCAGATCTAAAGTCTCTGGATCCCTCGTCCGGGGGTAGATTTATGTGGGGTAGTGGATCCTGACCAGATTTGTTCAAAGTCTCTGGATCCCTCGTCCTGGGGTAGATGCATGTGGGGTAGAGGATCCTGACAGATCTACAATGACATGTCATGTTTCCATCTGTGTTTTATGTCATTTTTGGGGAACATTGTCTCAACTATGTACCAGATAGCAATGTCCGTTGGGCCAATGTTGGACCAACATTGGCATCATTGAGGCTTACGTTGGCCAATGTTGCTATCAGGGTTATTGTGTAAGTACCTGTCATCGTAATGCATAGAGGCCTACAGTTTTAGGACTGACTTCTTACAATTCAGTTTTACGTCTGCAGTTTGTCTATGTTGAAATTTTATAACAGGATGTTAAAGTTGAAATTTGCGTCCAAACTTAATGTTTTACATAGCTATTTGTACGTGGCGATCAAAGATTCCTGGTAATGGGTAACACTCCCATTGGGGCTTAAGAATATGGTCGTTGTACTTGGTTCAGACTTGACACGCTGGGTCTGAACAGTTACAGTAGTGGACACCCAGGCTACAATGCAGTACACATTAAGGCTTTTAGAAATAATTACTTTATGATGCTGACAATTCCACTGCTGAACTCTGAGCCAGAGTGCAATTTGAACACATTAACAATTAATTATAAGCTTTCAACCCAGGTTTCACAGATTTGGAATGAAATTATTTTTGAAAACTGATTCTCTCTCTTGAGTTGGTTGGCTAATGAATCCTGAATCCAGGTCTTCAGCGTAATGACTGAATACTTTACCACTGGGTTACTGACAGACTCTAATTCACTTAATACATGGCCATAATTAGTTCGTCCTTAATACAAACTTGGAATACGTGTTGATTGACTTGAAATCAGTGTCGAAGAGAAGCATAAGTGACATAAATAATCACATTATTTTAAATTGATTTTATTGATTTCCTTAAGTGGCATATAGAAATTGGTATGATGAAAAGGGCGATTGTTTAAGGAAAGACAACTTGTTTGTTGCAGTGGACGCGACGTTTCGGTGTAGTTGCTGACACCGTTATCAAGCAAGTGATACACAACATTATCAACATGGAGAATATATACATGAAAGATGTTTGAGCCAACCGGTTTCACTTTGTTGATAGTGCTATAGAACATTGACCTATCGTGTGCTGCAAGACATAGTATTCTGTTTATCTGATGGCTGTGAAACATGTCAGACATATTGGTTATTCAATTAAGTGATGATATCTCATGTATTGGAGACATACATATACCTGAGGTATCCAAAATATAATCTTTAAGACTTCTTGTCTATGGTCCACATCATACTGTCCCGGCTTTTAAAGATCCTTCCCTGATGACGTAAGGAAGCTGAGAGTGTGAATACTCCTACATCACGTCAGACACGCAAGACAAGTGAACACCTTAACAACTCCTTTAGTGCCGAGACAAACATACATGTAACCAGATGGGTCTACACAGACACCCACAGGACACGTAATACCGCCCTCTTCTGTCAGTATGTTTCTTACAAACTGTCCTGACTCAGTCAGATGGATGACTCTGTGTTGTCTGTAGTCTGTAACCAGGATGTCGCCTGTGTCGGTACTTGTGATACCCCGAGGACACTCCAGTGCTGTGTCTCCTGTAGGGCTGTAGCTGAACACCACATCTCCCTCGGGGGTCAGACACACGACACGCTTGGTTCCCCAGTCAGATACCAGGATGTTACCTGTCCTGGTACTGAGGAAGTTGGGATACTGTAAGATGTTGTTACCTTTGTGGCGTGAACTGATAGACCTCAGCACGTTTCCTGTCATATCCAGGATATCAACACAGAGAGCAGAGTGGGAACCAGCTGCTAGTGTTGATGGAGTCAGCGACGTTATACCCCAATACTGTTTGCTGGTCCTCATGGTTGTCAGTAACTCCAGGTCTGGTTTGACTTTTACTGTTACAATCTGTTGGGTGTCTGGCACAGTGACAGCTACCTGATCGTGTGTCAACTTGGTCACACTCCATGGGTCACCACTCAGTCTGAGTTTGCTATGCTGTGTCTGGTTGTTCTTGACGTAGAAGGACTTCATACTGTGGTTATACCAGTCTGTGACTACAACGGTATCTGTGTCATTCACCACCAGCACTGTCACGTCACTGGGCATTGGTTTACTCCTATCGCCTGCTACGGTTATGTCAATGGTGTCTTGTAACACAGGAGTAGCCTTCAGGTCCAGCACACTCTCATACAGGACCTCTATCTCACCTAGCTCTAGATCGTCCAGTGCTTTAATCAGCTTGTCTGTGTCCTGTCTGAATGTGAAACTGGCTATTCGTCCTCCCTCCTTCAGGTCAGCGTCTCCGACAGCCTCCACATCACCGGCCTCACATCCCTGATACATTTCATACACATCCATGTCACACTCAGATTGTAGAGCCTGGTCTATCAGCTCCGTCTGATGTAGGTACATCAGTACCGACATCTCACCTGTCTTTATGTCTGCTTTCAATTGCCCGATGTGTTTATGTGAAATATCTTCCATCCGATCGAGTAGCTTCCTTTCTTTTTTCTTGGCCCGATCTATAACTTTCTGGCATGCGGAATGAATGTGTGACTTCATCAGTGAATAATGATCTCTCTCTCTCTGCTCCTGCAACTTTTGTTCCTTCACACGAAGTGTCGTCTCACCTTCCTTGTTTGATAATGACTTCTTCATTTCTGTTAGCTCTGTTTTCATTGTCACCATCTGTGAGGTGATCGTGACAACGGCATCACATTTCCTGTGGTAAAGTATGCAACATTTCTGACACACGGCCTTCTTGCAGTCCTGACACAGAAATTCTAGCGACTCCTGTTTGTGCTCCTTGCACATGGCCTTTCGCTTTCCCTTGACCTTGACCTCTCCAGACAGGTCAGTGACGTCATGGTTTCGAAATGATGGGATGCGGTTGTGAGCTCCAGTACATTTCTCACAGAGTGCATCATCACAGACGGAGCAGCAAGCAACAGCCAGAGTTGTCTCCCCATGTTCTTGGCAGTAGGTACAATTGGTCGTATCTGTAAACACATCATATTTGCAAAGTAACATCTCGCCTACTTGAAACACTTACACATGTTTATGTCTCTTTACTGACCCTACTGACACTTTAATGAGACGATCACTTATTGAATTCTGTGGAGCACCCACTTTATATGGTACACCTGTAGTCCATCTGTGGGCGTTGCTTTATACATGGGAGTCTCAGTACAATGGTAAAGGAGTCATGTCAACTGGGATGGTCGGGAAAGAACAGAACAGAACAGGACTCCTGGGATGCGGTGGTCGGGACAGGTAAATTGGAGGGTCTGGATGGGTTGGGCAGGTGAATGAGACTCCTGGGGTGTGTGGGACAGGTGAATGGGAGTGCTGGGGGGGATAGGACAGGGGAATGGGAGTGCTGGGGTGGGTGGGATAGGGGAATGGGATGGATGGGGTGTGGGACAGGTGAATGGGAAAGCTGGGGTGGGTAGGACAGTTGAATGTTAGAGTGCTGGGTGTGGGTGTGACAGGTGAAATGGAGGTTGGTGTGGGTGGGACAGATGATTGTGAGAGTCGGGGTGGGTAGGACAGGTGAATGGGACTACTGGGGTGGGTGGACAGGGAATGGGAGTGTTGGTGTGTAGGACAGGTGGAATGTTATAGCAGGGGTGGGGGTGGTGGGACAGGCAATGGCATTGCTAGGTGGATAAGACAGGTGTATGGGAGTGCTAGGATGTGACAGGTGAACGGGATTGCTGATGTGGGTGGAACAGATGATTGGGAGAATGAGGGTGGGTGGGACAGGTGAATGAGGATGCTGGGGTGAGTGGGACAGGTGAATGGGAGAATCAAGGTGGGTGGGACAGGTGAATGAGGGTGCTTGGTTAGGTGGGACAGCTGAATGGGAATGTTCGGGTGGGACAGGGTGAATGGGAGTGTTGGGGTGGTTAGGGACAGGTGAATGGGATGGTGGGGTGGGGTGGGACAGGTGAATGGGGCTGTTGGGTGGGTAGGACAGGTGGATGGGAGTGTTGGGGTGGGTAGGGATAGGGGAAATGGGAGGTTAGGCTAGAAGGATAGGTGAATGGGAGTCCTGGATGGGTGTGACAGGTGATTGGTATGGCGGGGGTGGGTGTGACAGGTGATTGGTATTGCGGGGGTGGTAGGAACAGGCAATGGCATTGCTAGGGTGGATAAGACAGGTGAATGGGAGTGCTAGGGTCGGACAGGTGAATGGGAGTGCTGAGTTGGTGGGACAGGGAAAGGGGAGTGCTGGGGTGGGTGGAATAGGCGATGGCATTGCTAGGCTGGATAAGACAGGTAAATAGGTGCCAGGGTCGGACAGGTGAATGGGAGTTGTGGGCAGGATGGGGCAGGTGAATGTTATTGCGGGGATGGTAGGGACAGGTGAATGTTTTTGCTGACGTGAATGGGACAGATGAATGGCAATTCTGGGATGGGTGGGACAGATGAATGGGAGCGTTGGGGTGGGTGGAACAGGTGAATGGCAATGCTGGGGTGGGTGGGACATTCTTCTGCCAATAACCTACTGACATAGACCACTAGACTCGTTTATTTGCAGCAAATAATATTTGGTTACATTTGCACACTTAGCCAACGATTTAGGAATTCTTCTCCGGAAATTGAAAACGGACGGCAGACATGGTGATCGCTAGGCCTCACTATTTCTCAAACAGGAATATACATATATCTCTTTGGTAGAGGGTATAAAGTTGTAGCTACCTTTGGATCCAGGGCCAAACGAGTCCAAGAGTCCCTGGATGAGAAAGATAGGTTTGACGTCATCCGCCCACTCCTCCATTGGTCTCTCAGGGGCGGACACTTTCGTCATCTTTCTGCAGAATGGACACAGGAGGGACTTGGCTCTGATGGCTTCTGGTCTGGTTTTGGTATAGTTGACGATACATTTCCGACAGAAGGTGTGATTACACACAAGTGTACAGGGCTTGTCAAACACCTCTGTACATATTGTACAGGACAAGAAATGGTCCGTCAGCTTCTGAGAGGTTGCCATCTGAAACCACGTAAATAATGTCTACACTCTTGACATCTATCTAACATCGTCCAACTGCAGGTGATTCAGAACCTCTGGACAGACTGACTGACTGACTGACTGACTGAGTTTAGTTTTACGCCGCTTTTAGCAATATTCCAGCAATATCACTGGAGGAAAACCACAAATGGGCTTACTGTACAGACCGGTGACTGTAAACTTAAACTCACTCACTCACTGTCTCAATGTACCTCAGGTGATGTTGATGCCGCAGTGTGTACATATCATGTTTTACAGATTGGTCAGATAGTAAAGTATGCAATTAAAGCTTATGGCATATATAAACTCTTCCAATAGTGTCTTTGGTATATGTAACCATCTTTGGTGCTGTGGAATTACGATTTGCACACACGAATCAGTCAAGGATATTGTGCGTAATGAATCGTCGGGTGTTGTCAATGGATGTGAATAGTCAATATCAATGGTAAAAAGGTTCCATCAAACTTTGTGGCAGACTAATTCTGAGATCTAATAATGAGATCAAGAGTAGTAAAAGAGTATTTGCAGCCCCACACGGCCATGTGTTGATCGACCTAGAAGTCGTTAGATATGGACAGCCATAGCATGTGATATCAAATCTCCGGGACTTCAGGGACCACATGCACGAAGCCATCTTAGCCCTACGACTATCTTATGTCTATACTGAAGCAAGAGTGTTACGACCGCTGTAGCGCTAAGATCGCTTTACATGCAAATTAAATGACCCAGCAAAAGGGGCACGGGTTGCCCAGCCGTCTGAGGTGCGGAGATTGCTCTTTAACACCAAGTGTATTATCTTAAATATTATAGTTCCTAAATATAACATAGTTATACTTGATAGAGGAACAGTAAAAACAGAAAAAAGACCATTTTCCCAAAAGAAGAGTGTCCGTTACAACTGGCGAGAAATTGGTACAAATCCTGAATACACGCTGCGCTCTTACAGTTGGTTTACTTGCTATGACACAATAAAGCCATATATAGCAACATTCCCCTTTGTGAAATGGTCAATATGATGATTATGATTTTCTTGAAGTATCAGTGGAGCACAACAGCTGACTGAATACCTCCTGTGTCATTCCGTGTTGATCACGTGTGCTCATTACCATAACGAAAGCAGACAACATGTACTTCCTTGTTGTGTACACTATCTACATGTACGATGTATGTAGGTCACAGGCAACACACGGGAGGTTGTGGTGGCTGTAGACCACGACAGGAGACTAATACACACACACTGCTGGCATAAACAACACATAATTATCACTGTTGACATAAAGAACAGCTAATTATCATTGTTGACATGAACTACACCTAATTATCATTGTTGACATGAACTACACCTAATTATCATTGTTGACATAAACTACACCTAATTATCGACTGACTATACTCGTCAAGATCTGACGGAATACAACAAACAATATTCGACTTTGGACTGAGGCCTAAATATACTGAATACTTGATACATCAGATAACCAGAAACAGTGTGATTGTGTTTCCATCAACACCAGGACCAACCATCCAGTATTTGATACATTATGATGTACAGCAACTTACCGCACCGTCCACCTTCACACCTCACAACCGCCACTTGCCGTGTGGGCGTCACCAGTGGTGTAGAGGGTAAATGTACACCCGCGACAAAGTATCACCTGTCAGGTCAGGTAAAGATGATCTTGTGCGATATCTACACTTCGTAGTAAAGGGGAGGGACCAGCAAAATGGTTGGGCGCTGACAAACCTAAAGTACTGTCGGAAATAGAAAACAACTGTTTTTAGGCTGTTACTCTATATCCCTAAAATTTACAGGGCGTTCAGTGGGATGCATAATTGGATATCCAGAAAAAGCAGGTCAAAGCATGGAAAAAATAGGAACAGCTGCTGAAAACAATAGATGAGACTAAAGATGGCAGTTAGGTCGCTCAGCCTCGGGTGTTGTTTTAATTAATCTCCATATTTAGTGTCTAAGATGTGGGTGTCTGAAATGCATGTGCTGCCTACAGGCACAAGGGGTCATCTCAAATAAGATGATATACTTTTCATGTGTGTTGAATATGTTTCATCTATTGATTACGTGTCTTTCTTTCATAAAGTTTATGTTGAGATGTGTAAAAGAGTATGATACTCATAGAAAAGATTAAATCAGACATCGTATTAAATGTCTCATACAATAAAGGTGGCATGACCACCCGAAGATGGACAGGGCCTAGATTTTCGAAGCTCTCTTAGCGCTAAGATAGTCGTATGTTAATGTTAATGTATGGCACTTATGACTATCTGAGCGCTAAGAGAGCTTCGAAAATCTAGGCCGTGGACTTGATGTTATTTGTAAATTGTTATGACATGCCGTTTACTTTCCCAGTTTAATTCCCCTAAAGGATGATCTTATCTTAGCTGATATCTCTATCCTCCAGCCCGATCCCAATCACCGTCTGCGACACCCGTCCTGGTTTTGCTTTTGAGACGACCCCTCCTATCTCTTCATGGTATCTACATCCTTAATAGTTTCAATATCAAAGTCATAATTTTTTACGTCAGCTATCGTTTATTATGAAGCTAAGTTTAATTTCAAAATGGGCATATAAAAAAGTGTCCTTTGTAATACAATATCATCGCACACTAATTTGCATGTGGTCTGTTCCAAATAAGTCAGTTTGTTTGAGATGACAAGTTAAAATTGCTATTGAAGGTGTTACCGTAAACGTTACTGTTGCTGAATAATCCAGATGTCATTCCGTGTAGTGTAGTAGTGTTTTGGTTTACCTGACTGCTGTTAGGCCTACATTCAAACCATTTTGGAAGTGACATGCGTTGTTGGTGAGAGACAGCTTTAGACGAACTTTGAACAGGAACAAGAGAGTTTTCTTTACTACCAGTAAGGATACTAGACATGTGTTTCTGCATTGGAAGGGAAGCAACAGCATAGTCAATGAGACTGTTCACAGTTTTGTGCCCTGACAACTGACATATTGTCGTCGGTTCTACACCGGAATGAAGCAGCTGTGTACACATGGACTTTCGAGCACTGTGATTTGTGCTTTTGCCGACCAAATCGGAACGGGAATCCATGTTTTTCACGAGGCCACAGAGTGTGTTGATGCCAAGAGGACCGTTTTGAAACCATTGACCATCAGACTTTCTCTTGTGATTGATCGCTAGGTAAAATAATCCATCGGGAGCTGACATGCTTTTCAGCCGTTGTTTGGCAAATGATTTGTAAACTGTGAGGATACATGTTTCATTTCCGGGGAATATTTTAGGATTGAACATGCGATGGTGAGTGGAATTTCCGTCCCTTGTTTCAGTCTGGCTCTCCCAAAACTCCAGACACTCCTGGCCATCAGAATCTGTTTTAAATTGAACTTCACCCCATTTTGATTTTCTGCTTTCATCCCCCCCACGCAATCCAAACATTTTAGTAAAATAGTACCATAAAAATTGACAGAGGTGAATGACTCCTAAATTCGCCCTTTTCCCACAACCGCTCCTCATCTTCCACTGACAGTGACTCGGATTTATTTGACCGATTCCTCTTACCTGTTTGTTTTAGTTCTTTCGTTTTTGCTTCAATAACTCTTCTGCTGGTACGGAATTCCACATCTTGCACAATGTTAGAGGGGTCATCGTTGTCACGAAGGTGGGGATCAATGGAGGTTAATGTGTCAGGTTCGTAGGGTTCACCATTGTCCTTCTCCAGAGAAAGAATGTAGGATCCAATAAGAACATCAAGTTCTGGAGGAGGGAGAGTCAGCATGTCTTGTTTCACATTGTTTTCCAATAAAAATGGTTGCATTTAGAAACAAGACTGTTTGTTTTCTGTACCGTGGTGACAGTTTTCTTGGTCTCGATGTATGCCTTGAAACCTTTGATGTTTTTTTGTTACGAGAGGCACTGGTTATGATTCCAAAGTAATCATCCAGTTCAAACGTACCAAAATTCTCGTCCAATAACATGTCAAATAAGTCTTGATGGATAGTACCATCGATGTCATTGTTGCCGACATTTTGACAACAAGCAGGCGATGAATGTGACGTGAAAAAAGACAAACACATTTTTTTCTTTCAATCTTTTAATGTAACCAACAAGTGCGATATTGTTTTAAGTTTCTAAATTAATCATATACAACCTAAAAATCATATTATTATATTCAATTGACATACCTCTCGTTAGCTGGGTACGGAAAATCCCGGAAAGTGCCGAGCTTGGGAGAAACTAGAACCGGCAGGGTTTCAATACGGAATCTGGAGTGCAATAGGGAATTTGACCACTTCATCCGTATTGAACCCCTGTATTACTATCTTAAGTTTACATGAGTATGTAATAAAAAAGTAGAATACGGGTTGCCTTGAAATCAGTGTTGAAGATAAGCATAAGTGACATAAATACTCACAACATTTAAAATTGATTTCCTCGAGTGGCATACAGAAGCTGGTATGATGAACAGGTAAGATGTTTTAAAGATAGACTATTGCAATGGATGCGGCATTTCGGTGTAGATGCTAACACCGTTATCAAGCAGTTGATACACAACATTATGAACAAGGAGAATATATACATGAAAGATGTTTGAGCCAACCGGTTTCACCATGTTGTGCTGTAATACATGGGTCTAACGTTTACTGCAAGAGTTGGAGTTCGGTTAATCTTCTGTCAGGGACACATATGTCAGACATATCGTTTATACAATTATATGCTGATATCTCGTGTATTGGAGATATCCATATACCTGAGGTATCCAAAATATTAAAACTTGTCATCTGTAAGGTTTCTTGTGTATACTCTACTTCATACTGTCTCGGCTTTTAAAGATCCTTCTCTGGCGGGAAGCTGAGAGAGTGATTACATGTATGCCAAGTCAGACACATAGACTTGACTGTGGTTACACGTGAACACCTTAATAGGTCCGTCATTTCTGAGACAAACATACATGTAACCATATGGGTCTACAGTCATTGACACCCGCAGGACACGTAATACCGCCCTCTTCTGTCATACTTTATGTTTGACAAACTGTCCTGACTCAGTCAGATGGATGACTCTGTGTAGACTGTAGTCTGTAACCAGGATGTCACCTGTGCCATTTGTACTTGTGATACCTCTGAGGACACTCCAGTGCTGTACAGTCTCCTGTAGGGCTGTAGATGAATACTGTACATCTCCCTCAGGGGTCAGACACACGACACAGTTAGTTCCCCACAGTCAGACACCAAGATGTTACCTGTCATCGTGGTACTGAGGTACTAAAGTTGGGATACTGTAAGATCCTGTTACCTTTGTGGAGTGGACTGATAGACCTCAGCACGTTTCCTGTCATATCCAGGATATCAACACAGGGAGGGGAGTGGGAACCAACTGCTGGTGTTGAAGGAGGCAGGGACGTTATACCCACATACTGTTTGCTGGTAGTGATGGTTGACCGCAGTACCAGGTCAGGGTTCACTTCAACTATTACAATCTTGTTCCTGCTCGGGACAGTGACAGCCAACCGGTTGTGTGTCAACTTGGTCAGACTCAATGGAGGACCATCCATACTGAGTTTACTGTGCTGTGTCTGTTTGTTCTTGACGTAGAAGGACTTCACACTGGTGTTATCCCAGTCTGTGACTACAACGGTGTCTATGTCATTCACCACCAGCACTGTCACGTCTATGGGGTTTAGTTTACTCCTTTCGTCTGCTACTATGATGTCAATGGTGTCTTGTAACACAGGAGTATCCTTCAGGTCCAGCACACTCACATACAGGACCTCTATCTCACCCAGCTGCAGATCGTCCAGTGCTTTACTCAGCTTGTCTGTGTCCTGTCTGAATGTGACACTGGCTATTCTTCCTCTCTCCTTCAGGTCAGCGTCTCCGACAGCCTCACATCCCTGATACATCTCATACACATCCATGTCACACTTAGATTGTAGAGCCTGGTCTATCAGCTCCGTTTGTTGTTGGTACATTTTTACTGACATCTCACCTGACTTTATGTCTGCTTTCAGTTGTCCGATGTGTTTATGTGAAATATTTTCCATCCGATCGAGCAGTTTCCTTTCCTTTTTCTTGACCCGATCTATAACTTTCTGGCATGCCGACTGAATGTGTGACTTCATCAGTGAATAATGATCTCTCTCTCTGCTCCTGCAACTCCTGTGAGGTGATCGTGACAACGGCATCACATTTCCTGTGGTAAAGTATGCAACATTTCTGACACACGGCCTTCTTGCAGTCCTGACACAGAAATTCTAGTGACTCCTGTTTGTGCTCCTTGCACATGGCCTTTCGCTTTCCCTTCACATTGATCTCTCCAGACAGGTCAGTGACGTCATGGTGACGAAATGATGGAGTCAGTTGTGAGCTCCAGTACATTTCTCACATAGTGCATCATGACAGACGGAGCACCAAGCAGCAGCCAGGGTTGTCTCCCCATGTTCTTGGCAGTAGATACAATCGGTCGTATCTGTAAACACATCACATTTGCAAAGTAACATCTCACGTACTTTGAAGAAGAAAACAATCTTTATTGTATTTTAGGCATCTGGCCCACATACAGAGTAAACAAAATATACAGTATAGCTAATAGTCTGTCATACAGACCCTGAATCAAATATATCCAAGAAACCCCACGCAAGTCTAGAAAATGTGGCAAGTCTAGATTCCCACAGCTTCAGGCTGTAAATGAAGAAAGTCTCAGGGCTCCTTTTCATTATATTTTATTTTTTTTATTATGAGCTCTTTCTCTGTAAAATATTGTCATTTCAGAGACTTGTGGTGGGTGGGACGGGTGAATTGGAATGCTGGGTTGGGTGTGACAGGTGAATGTGAATGCTGGGGTGGGTGTGACGGGTGAATGTGAATGCTTGGGTGGATGTGACGGGCGAATGGGAGTGCAGGGGTGGGTGGGACAGGTGAATGGGATTGATAGGGTGGAGTGTGACAGGTGGAATGGGAGATGCTGGGGTGGAGTGGAGTGACAGGTGAATTGGAGATGCTGAGGTGAGTGGGACAGGTGAATAGGAATGCTGGGGTGGGTGTGACAGTTGAATGGGAGTGCTGGGGTGGAGTGTGATAGGTGAATGGGATTGATGGGGTGGATGGGACAGTTGAATGGGAGTGCTGGGTAGGGTGAGACAGTTGAATGGGAGTGCTGAGGTGGTGGAACAGTTGAATGGGAGTGCAGGGGTGGGTGGGACAGGTGAATGGGAATGCTGATGGAGTGCAGGACAGTTGATAATGGGAATTACAGAATTAGGGGTGTGACAGGTGAATGGGAATGGTGGGGGTGAGATCTGGACAGTTGAATGGGAGTGCTGGGGTGGGTGGGGCAGGTGAATAGGAATGCTGTGGTGGGGTGGGACAGGTGAATGGGAGTGCAGGGGTGGGTGGGACAGGTGAATGGGAGTGATAGGGTGGCAGTGGGACAGTTGAATGGGAGTGTTGGGGTGGAGTGGGACAGGTGAATGGGAGTGCGGGGTAAGGTGGGACAGGTGAATGGGAGTGCTGGGATGGGTGGGACAGGTTGAATGGGAATGGTTGGGTGGAGTGGGACAAGTTGAATGGAAGTGCTGGGGCGGGTGGGACAGTTGAATGGGAGGTACTGGGAGTGGGTGGGACAGTTGAATCGGAGTGTTGGGGTGGGTGGGACAGGTGAATGGGAATCGTCAGTGGTGGATGGGACAGTTGAATGGGAGTGTTGGAGTGAGTGGGACAGCTGAATGGGAAGTGCTGGGGTGGGTGAGACAGCTGAATAGGAATGCTAGGTGTGGAGTGGGACAGCTGAATGGGGCTGCTGGGAAGGGTTGGAGACAGGGTGAATGTGGCTGCTGGGGTGCCAGTAAAAGACCGGTAGGAGTGCAAGTCTGGGTCAGTGGTTGTTTCCCTCAAAATGGAAAACGTATTGCCGACACGCATACTGATGGACAGACATAGTGATCCGCTACATCCTACCGTTTCTCAACCAGGAATATCCAAGAAATTTCTTTGGTAGAGTATATAGTGGTGTGTACCTTTGGATCCAGGACCAAACGTGTCGAAAGAGTCCCTGGATGACGAAGATAGGCTTGATGTCATCCGCCCACTCCTCCACTGGTCTCTCAGGAGCGGACACTTTCGTCATCTTTCTGCAGAATGGACACAGGAGGGACTTGGCACTGATGGCTTCTGGTCTGGTTTTTGGTATAGTTGACGATACATTTCCGACAGAAGGTGTGATTACACACACAAGTGTACAGGGCTTGTCAAACACCTCTGTACATATTGTACAGGACAAGAAATGGTCCATCAGCTTCTGAGAGGTTGCCATCTGAAACCAGGAAAATCTAACATTGTTCAACTGCAGGTGATTCAGAACCTCTGTACAGACAGGTGACTGTAAAGTTAAACTCACTCACTCACTGTCTCAATGTACCTCAGGTGATGCTGATGCCCACACTGTGTACATATCACGTGTTACAGATTGGTCAGATAGTCAAGTATGAAATTAAAGTGTATGGTATATACAAACACTTCCAATACTGTCTATGGTTAATGTAACCATCTTTGGTTCTGTGGAATTACCATTTGCACACACGAATCAGTCAAGGTTATTGTGTAACAAGAATCGTCGGGTATTGTCAATGGATTAGCTGACTGATATAAGCCAATCTTCATTGAAAACGGTCTAAGTAAACTTAGGCTCAGTATTATTCGTTACACTGAAGGTCGCGTGAGCTTAACCTTTTGAACTGGACCAATCAAGAACACTGTTTTACTGCTACAAATCGCGAAAGGTAACATCTGCACATGCTGTTTGAACTTTTACCTCGAAAACGTTTGTATCTCTAACGATTCGAATGCTATTTTCCGCATGTTATATAAACTTATCTACTTATTTCACAACAAGATGTAAACAAAATGGAAACTACTTAATAGATGAAAATAAACAAATAAAAATAATCAATTGAGAAAACTACTATTCCCTACGAAATTGAATGTTAATTATGCTGAAATCTAACGTTTTGTTTAGTTGACAGTATTGTTGAAAAACTGCTTCAATGGAGTTAGAATGTTAATTAAGAATATCGAGGTGGCGGACAGAAAGGTCGACGTTATGACGTCACTATCGTTGAATAAATCTGAGGTTGGTTACACAATACTGTGATTCTTCTCATTGATCAAATCGCTTGGCTGTTTCAAATAATGAAACTCATGTCATAAAGATGTTGGGAGACATATGGGGTGGTGGGGAGGTGCGCACCCCTGCACCCCTGCACCTCCCCTCTGGATCCGCCTATGGTAACAGCTTTATATTGTATTGCAGTAGCAGTGCTTGCATGACTATTACAACTTTATGATAAGCAGCAGTTTTTGTTAGAATGAAACTTTCACACTTTAATTATTATGTACAGCGATAGTAGTGTACCATCACCCTGGCGTCGCTTTCAAGATGGCGGCATCAGTCCCGGATGTGCCGCCATTAGGGGGGGATCACTCGGGTTCCGGTTCCGGTGGTTCCGGTTCCGGCGTGTGTGAACGAATCGCGATGACGTCACGTCCGGTTCCGGTGGGCACGCGCATGACGATGACGTCATGTCCGGGCCAAGATGGCGGACGCGTTTCAAGATGGCGTCCCATCTGGTGGGATCACGTGAGATCTCGCGGGATCTCGTGGACTCTCGCGGGATCTCGCGAGCGTAGACGCATTTCAAGATGGCGGAACGGACGAGCGGCGGACGGGACGGGACGGAGAGGGAAGGGAAGGAGAGGGCACACATCATCGTGCTGCTGTTGTTCTCTCTTGATGATGCCTTCCCCACAGTAGAGGCAAATGTAGAAGTCAGCTCCTGGGACGACATCAAAGCGATTCGAGGGATATGCTTTGAAACAGGTAGGACAGATAATCAGTCGCCATTTTGATGACCATTTTGGTAATGTTTTCGCTGTGGCTGCCATTGTTGTTGGTGGGGCTACCGTGTCTCCTGCCGCCGTTGGTGGTGGTGGTGGTGGTGGGGATGCCGCTGCTTCTGTTGCCGTTGTTGGTACCGGTTCTACAGGTGTTGTTGCTGCCTCTTCCATTTTGATGCCGGCCTTCCCTTGTAAGGTAGGGCTGCACCGCAAGCATTGCCGTCTACCGCAATTTTTCCGGTAAGGCGCCTGTCGCATGACTTCCACTTTCCTTGTGTCCATGTTACATCAAGATAGCCCTCACTGACCCATGCTGGAGTTTATATACAGGCGACGAGACAGCGATTACGTGTCGTCGATGACGTGGTATCGATGACGTCATGGTCGCGCGTGAGGGTAATGACGTGGTACCGATGACGTCACCGTGAGGTGGTGGCGCCCCCATAGCCTTGGATTGGCTGAACTCTCACTATATATGATGAGGGGGATGACCGAAGCAGTGTTACAACCAGCAATCATGTCTGGAGAAAACTGGGATCTGGAACTCATGTCCTTGGAGACAGCATCATCACCCTTACCGGCATGGCAGTGCCACCAATGCCATGGCTGCCTGCCCGTCTACGCCAATGGGACTGATGACTATCATGGTACCTTTCAATGCGTCTACTGCAAGACAGTGTTAAAGGACACTTATATAAGGCGTTTGACTCATGGGAGCAAGTACCCCGTAAAAACAAAGATGGCCATTCATCCCTGTCAATGTAGGTGCCAGCTCTGGTCCCTTGAGTGAGGTACACTCTAAAAAAACGGCCCTTTTCAGGGCCATCCATCTCTCCCAAAAGAAAGGTTCATTTCAATGCCAACAATAACAACAACACTAGGTTGACATTTTTCAAACGTTTTATTTCCCCCGCTAACAAGAACACTTTGATGAAAGAGGCAGGATTAGGGGCGTCCCTGATCTTTTGTTTACAAACGGTATGAACTGTAACATCAGAACATCATAACTGTAACATCATAACATCAGAACGATAAGGTTGTGTCCTTTGGCAGGGCTGTGGATCATGGACAGCGTTGTTGTCTGTCAGGCGTGTGGGTTGAAACCAACGTCTTACACGTTCTTCATTGACGAGGGTATCGTAGGGATCAAACTGTTCCATCACTTCGTCAAAAGACCATCCACGGGCACGATGAGCCAGTACATACAAGCAGTACATCCCACAAGAGGCACTGAACCAGGGTTGAAGTGACTGACCATTCCACTG